CTTAGTTACAAAGGTGGAACCCTTAGATACAGGGGGTGACACACACACACGCACGCAGCTTGACCTCCTTCCAAAAACAGGTCACGTGGAAATCAGCTGAGGCGGATGTTCACCAGTGCATTGGCTCAAAAGCCATCGGCTTCGGCCCCTGCTTGCCAGCCATGGCCGATCCCGCCTCCAATGGCTGGCCTGCTGGAAAGGTCTTTGATGCTGCAACGCAAAGTTTCACCTATGATGACTTGGTCTTCATGCCAGGACTCCCCAACTTCGAATCATCAGAGGTGGGCAAAGGGTAGTCTGTTAAACAAACACCATCACTGAAATCACCTGAAATGAAGCCAACCACTATCCACCATCCACATCCACCACATCCACCACCCCAACCAGTCAAAAAAAAAACACCACCTCGCTCTTCTCGCTCCGTTCCGGTCCCCAGCAGCCCTCTCTCCAGCGACCGAGGTGGACCTCTCGGGGCACGTGACGAAGAACCTCAAGCTGCGATGCCCGGTGCTGGGGAGCCCCTCGGACACGGTCACGGGACCCAAGATGGCCATCGAGCTGGCCTTGCATGGTGCTATGGGCATCATTCATGCCAACCAAAGTGTGGAAAGCCAGGCGATGGCGGACGGAAGAGAATCATGACGCAATGATCGAGAGAAGGTGTGTGAGAAGAATTGAGGGATCGAAGACGAAGATTTCACGGGGTCAAGATATGGGTCAATGATTCTAAAAGCCTCACAAACTGACGTCCTCGCCAAAAACAAATGTCACATGATGTGCAATATATTCTTGCTCCAGGGTACTGTTCTCATTTAGGAGATGAATGCAACTATACTGTTCATATTTGAACGACATGTTTGGTCCACGAGCCACTGGCTGAGCCACCTGCTAGGTGAATATGGTACAGGCGGTGAAGCGCTTTGTGAGTGGATTCATTCTGGAGCCCTTCGTGATGAGCCCGACTCAGACATTGGCAGATCTTGACAAGCTAAAGGAGACCAGGGTGGATTCTGTATGATTTTTTTACCATTGAATCTAGGGACCTTGATTGAATTATGTTTGACTTTTCAATCATCATCCACCATGTAGATGGGTCATGGGTTGAGGTTAGACTCTAGACTCTAGACATGTTTAGATAATTTTACACATGGTTTGACATCATGAAGTTCACGGCATGCTTTGTCCACTTTGCAAGTCACGTTCCAACTCGGCGTACAATTGCTAGAATGGCAGCAACGTGTCCTCTATCCCTTCCAAGATGCTTATTGAACACGCACTGACATGTTGAAGAAATGGGTTCCGTACATGGATTCATATGTCTTTTCTTCGGGTGTTCGTTCTTTTTCGCGACCGCCGGTCAGCGAAGCGAGCCACACGGCCCGGGGTTTAGGAGACCAAAGGAGTATCCTCAGTTCCTATTACCCATGATGGCCGGTTGGGAGGTCGTTTGGTTGGAATCGTGACAGCTCGTGATACCGATCTATGTGAAGATCGGAGTGAATGTTTATGTACCGTGATGACTGAGAACATCGTGACGGCCAAAGAGCCCTTGGCTTTTGCTGAAGCCATCGATATTTTGAAGAGAGAGAAGGTGGGAAAGCTGCTCATTCTGGATGCCCAAGATCGTTTGGTCTCGATGGTCACACGCAGTGATTTGAAAAAGGTCCGCGACTACCCGGAGATGTCGCGAGATCTATCAGGTAAGCTCTTGGTAGGTGCAGCAGTACCTGCGAAGGAAGGTCAACCAGATGAAGCACGCGCCAATGCCTTGGCGGAGGCTGGAGCCAACTTACTTTATCTCTTCGGAGATGGTGTGGATGCACAGCTCGAGCTGATCCAGCGCCTGAAGGTCAAGTATCTCAGCTATGTTTCTTTTTTTTTTCGCACATGGACTTTCTTTCCTTTACGTAGCAGAACATTTCCGAAGATAATGGATTCATCGGACTTTACTTTTCTGTTTATTCCTGTTCTCCCCCAAAGGCCCACATCTCATCTCTCATCATCTCATCTCTCATCATCCCCCTGATTCTCAGATCTCATTTGACGCCCCTCCCGTCACCAGTGTCACCGATCCCCCTCACCTCGCTCTTCCGGTGTCCTTCGCGTGGCGCTCCGCGTCGCTCCGTAGGTATCCCTCGGTGGAGCTGCTGGCGGGTCCAGCGGCCTCAGTCCGCGAGGCCAAGCGCCTGGTCCAGGCGGGCTCCGATGGCGTGGTGGCGGGCACCGGCTGCGACGTGGGAGGCGACGTGGAGGCGCCCAAGGCGGTGGCCTTGGGACGAGGAGAAGCTGAGATGGCAGGAGAGAGAAGAGTGGATGGAGGTGGATGGAGGTGCTGCTGGTGTTAGTCTTGGGTTTTAGGGGGAGAGATGTTTGGAGATTTGGATGGGAAATGATGGGATAGTATTTTGGTGTTGAATTGGACAGTTTTGGAAGGAAGATGTCAGGTAATTGACAAGGGGAATTCGGAATGTATGCATGAATGCATGACTTTTGCAACGTTCTTTGTCCTACCACAAGCTTTGCCGTTTGACGCATTGTACATACATACACAACTAAAGCTTATGCAGCATCTTGCATCACTTGGACAGACACTCAAGCAGTATGGAACCACTTCAAACATCCGCAGCGTCACGAGTTTTGCTAGCTTTGGAAAGATGAAATGTCAGACTCTTTGCTTCGATTGCAAACTTATTCTGCTTCGATTCACGTTCATAGGAGATTTTTCATTGTGAGGTCTCCCATTTCAGGGCGAGGTTTGCTATTATGTTGTGCACAGATACTGTGCTGGCTGACGTGCCCCTTAGGCCCTTCAGGGAAACACAGTACATTTCGGCCGCACGGTCGTATAGAGAGAGTACCTATAGGCCTAGGCCTGTTAAAGACCCAACCATCGACTTCCGGGAAAAAGAACAACAAAAACGACCTCTCCCGACGCACAATCTCTGGCCACCCACATCGCACGTCCCACGACGTCCGTCACGTCACGTCCGTCACTCTCGGTCGTCGGAAAACCAAGGAAGCGACCATGGTCTATGAGGTCGCCTTCTACGTGACCCGCAACTTCGCTCTTCCGGTCTGTGCCGCTGGGGTGCGAAGTAGCGCACAGGCCTTGGTCGCCATGGGCCTAGGCGGGGCGGGCGGTGGGCGGGCGGTGGGGTGCAGCTGGGTGTGCATATGGTTCCAAAGCGAAGATTTGCACAACTGTCAGAACCGTTGAATTTCGGATCATGCCTCAAGTCATGAGTGAATCTTTCATCTAACAGCTCAGTTCATGGTTCTTGGCACTCTTTTTCCTTTACCCTTTATCCCGCCTTTCCAATTGTGTGTCCCCTCGCAGTACCCTGGCGGTTCCCAATGTACGCGCGCTATCCCATCCCTTCATCCCCTTCATCCAGGTGCCTCCAGCGTGATTCTGCGCGAACCCTTGGCGGGTGCCACGGAGGCGCCCACCGGCGGCACCGCCGCGCCGCCGTTGCACCACCCACACAGCCTGGTCTCGGCCACAGGCGTCCGCTATGGCTCCAGCTGCGCCTGGGAGCGGCAGGTGACGGTGCCGCGGAGCGTGGCGATGCAGGTGCCGCATCGAAGCCAGGTGCCGCGGTGGGGGCGCGCTTGGGGCGTGGGCGCGGGTGAGAACACGAAAGAATGCCCCCGGGTGGGGGGGGGATAGGAGCTCGGACATGGTTCGGTTCCGCCAAAACCATAGAAGAATAAAAACCCTTATATGATGAATAAACCACTAAAAAGACCAAAAAGGAATTCCACAAGAAGAAGGACAATAGCTAGGAAGAATCCTTGCATTGCAGTCAATCTGACAGTTTGTTGGTTCCCGGTTCTGAGTAATTCTGATCGTTGCCCAGGTCAAGGCCTTCTTGATGTACTTCTTCTCGGGCCTGCAGAAGGGCTTTCGACAGATTGGCTTTCGGAACCTGCAGGAGCTTCATGTTGCCTTGGAAAAAGAGGCCCTGCGGATGGAATGCCGACTGCCCTATGGCCTTCAGCTTAGAGAAGCTTGCATTCAAGCGAAGCGGAACTCTGAGTTTCCCTTGGTGGCGCCAGCCTGGTCATCGTTGCGGTAGAATAGGGGACACCTTCCTGCCTGCAGCGCGGGTGTCTTGGTATTGATGACCCAGGCAAAGCAAGCCTCTAGTTCCAGTCCAGCTGAAGCGATGAAGCAATGGAGATTCTAAAATGACTCTTTTGTAGATTGAAGAGTAGTAATGAGCATTGACTCACTTTCTTCTCGCCAAGCGAGATCCATGGCTTAACACGAGCCATGAAGGTGGGAAGGAAATTCCGCTGGACTGCTGAAATCTCCATCACCTCAAAAAGTCGCCCGGAGCAAGTTGATGACAGGCTGGAGACCGTTGTTCTTACAAGAGCAATCCAGAAGCACCAGAGTTCCATCATCACTTCACCGAGTTCACACCCTGAAACGTCCCACATTCCGAGAGTTCCCTCCAGGGTCCAAGGTCTTCATCAACGAGAACACACATTGAATGCACCACGTGATTGCATCCTACATCCCCCCACATGGATGTTCACCGAACACCTCAGAGTTGCCACATGTGTTCACCACAAACATGTCTTGACATGTCTTGACACAACTGAAAAATCCACAAACGTCGTGCGTCTATGAGCTGGAGGTGAAGCTTGGCCCCTGCAGCTGCAGGACACGTTGTGAAACAGGTTTTGTTGGAGGTGCTGCTCCAGAGGAGGAACTTCTCACGTGAATCAACCAGGGTCCCCTGGTTCGCTCCCCACGATACCCTGCATGAAAATCATGCACTGCATCCAACGACTGCAGCGTCGCCCCACGCACGTCAGGAGCAGCCTTTGCTGAACACCGACGACCGCCACCACGGCCTGGTGGCCATCAACGGGCCAGGCCGAGACCGAGACGCGATCTCCGGCGCGACGGCGTAGCCCCGAAAAGATGTGGCATAAGATAGGTGTGTATAATTAGTTACATGTATTACAGTATAAAACTATAATCTTTTTTCTAGCTAGTATATATATTACATATGGTGGCCCCTGTTTTTCGAGATGTCTTGGACCCGTAGAAGATACTATTGCCCCCCCGGCCCCAAGTAGTTGGCCATGTTGGTTGGACGACGGTTGAAGTCGAAAACAGACCAAAACAGACCGTCCATGAGGGCTTTCACCGATGGAACAACCCACATGAAGATCTTGTCCATCGATTTCACACCCTGACAGAGTTTCACTGTCACCAACATGGACCAACAAAGGGGATGATGATGGCAGGACCTTCATCCTGATTGTGGTCTTGATGGACCAACCCTCCCTCTTCTTCGTTTGATGGACCGACCCTCCGAGATGGACACGACCGACCCTTCTGGCGGGCGGGCGCCAGGTGCGACGTATCTGGCGGCGACCTCCGAGGCGGTGCGACGACCGAAGTGGTTAGACAAATAGATGAACAACTGTAGACATATAAGGCCTTCACATGAGTGTGGTGGGGAGTGTTGCTCCTTTTGGGGATCACGCGTTGGAACCGTCACTTTTCACTGCACGTGTTCGATTTGCGAGGCGCAGCTCCTCATTTGGCCTTTCCATCAGGCAGTGCCAGCCGCAGATCACTGGCGATTGGTTCGTGAGCGGATGCCAATTCGAACAAATTCTGCTTCATGCCAGTTTGATCCTACAGTCCTCTCCAATTAGTATATATAAATAATATATTGATTGACAATGATTAAAATATAAATATAGATACAATCATTGTAATAATTGGCTTTCTTCTTTTTCTCTGAGAGGGTGACACAGTGACACGTCCGGTCGACTTCACAGAAACATGTAAACTCCTCATTCCCTTGAATCCGCCGCCGCGCCTTCCTTCCGCCGTTTTCGGCTCCTCCCGGAGGAGTCGGTCGTTGTTCGGTCGCCGCGGTGTGGCGAAAAAGCCTTGGTTTCGGAACACCGGACGACCGGGGAAGATCGGAAGATGGCATATCCCACCTTGCTGCGCTCAGATTGGGAGGAGACCGTGGGAGAAAAAGAACAACGTATAAAGTCATGAGAAGAAACAAAACATGGATTTAAAGATGTTCCCTGCCTTAGGGAAATTAACCCGGGTGACTACTAAAAACAAATAAGAAACAACACTAAAAACAAATATAAGAAACAACAATTGCCGGGTGACTACTATGACCATTACACAAGAAACAACACTAGAAACAAATACATAAAAAGGAGCCAGCCGGTCAAATGCCTGATGTATACTTAGAAGAAGGAAATCTATAGTGAGTGTGTATTCCGGCACTTACTGTATTGGGAATTTGTTACTGTACTGCGGCGCCTTGAGACCTAGAAAATTAATCGAGACCTCTGCAAGTGCTTTGAGCTCAGATATGTAGAGTACTTGGGGTACCCCTGGATTAATTCTACCCCCCCAGTCTAATTTAAAGGCTTACGCCTAACAGCCGGGCGCCGGCCGGGTGCACGTGCAGCTATCGGGGGCGTACAGGGCCCTGGGTGGGGGCAAGGTGGGAAACTGCTCGGCGTTGGAGACGGGGGCCGGGGTCTGGGGCACAAGTTAAGCTATTTGGTGCGCATCTTGGCCCTAGGTTGGGCCCATGTGGTCTATGTTGGGCACGTCTTGGGCCCATGTTGAGCCTATGTTGAGCCTATGTTGGCCTATGTTAGGCCTATGTTAGGCCGAGGTTGGGCCTATGTTGGGCCTATGTTGGCCCCATGTTGGCCTATGTTGGCCCTATGTTGAGCCATCTTGGAGGCTATGTTGGGCATATGTTGGGGATATGTTGGCTATCTTGGGCCTATGTTGAGGATATGTTAGGACATGCAAGTCGTCTGGAGGGCCTCTACCCACAAAATGTCGATTAAGCCTGTCCGCCCGGCCCACATTACCGACACCACCCTTGAAAAGCACAGCATTTTTGCATTTTTCTCTTTTCCCCGCGTCGTATTTCGATATGCGCAATAAACCCTGTAAAGCACAGTGTTTTTTATACCTCACACACACGAAACACTGTAAATTACGTTGATATCAGTGAACCGGTGGTCCCCCCGTTTTGGTGACGAGGGTCGGCGGCAGGGGCCGCTCCCGTATATCCGGCCAGGGGCCCACGGGGCCCCGCCATGGCCGTGTCATTGCCGTAGGCATCTCTCCTCTCCGAAGGAGAGAGTGGAGTCCCGCCCCTGCCGCCGACCCCTGCTCGACCCATGCGCAGTCCCGCGTTTTACAGTGTTTTCTGCTTCTTGCATTTTTCCGGCTTTGTGGCTCAAGATGGGTCAACATGGCGCAACATGCGCCGAAAAAAGTGCCCAAGTTGGGCCAACATGGCCCAAGATGGGCCAACATAGGGTCAAGATGGGCCAACATAGCCCCCAAGCTGGGTCAAGATAACCCCACGATGGGTCAACATAGCCCCAAGATGGGCCAACATAGCCTCCAAGATGGGCCAACCTAGCCCCAAGAGTGGCCAACACAGCCCCGACTGTGGGCCAACATGGCACCCAAAATGGGCCAACCTAGCATGTTTCCCCTCCATGGCATGGGGTTTGCGTGGACCTTGGGGATTTGGTTTCCAGATGGCCCAGTTTTTCGCGTTTCCTTTTTGTTTGGGCCAACACAGAGGCAAGATCGGACGACATATGTCTAAGCTGGGCCAACAGAAGGTCAAGGTGGGGCAGCAGAGGGCCCCGATACTTCAGGCAGACAAAAGTTTACGCTTGTTAGCCTTCTTACAAAACAC